TGGAGGGAAGTGTGGGGGAAACCAACACAAACACCTTTACTGAAGCCCCAAGCAGGCACCACTCCAATGGTTTAATGGTTGAAAATAATCACCACAAATTCTATGTGGGCGGTTCAGATAAGTTTGACAGCTTCAGGCTCTCTCTGACTGTGCTAATGCTTCAGGTGCTGATCATAAAATAATAATAGCCTGCACAGTGGGCCCAGTAGCTCTCGTAATTGAAAACAGCAGGTCTTTTCCTTATTTCCCTTCAGAGGGAAGCCAGGGCAGTATGACACTGCAGTCATGTCAATGTAAAACTGAGCCAGAGCCTCATCCAATGGCACACATGGTCTTTTACAGCTGCAAAGTCACCACAGCAGAACAAAATAGAGCCTTGAATTCTTCACGTCTCGCCTCCCTGTTTAGGTCTCCATTTCCTGATCCCTCACGCATCTTCCCCGCAGCTATCACTCAGAGAATGAAAAACCCTGGCCAAGCACAAGGACAGACAGCATCAAACACAACACTCCTGCCTCGCCGTGGTATCTGTTTAAAATAGCTACTGTGGCACACATCCCCCACCTGCAGAGGAAATTCAGCAGCACAAAAGACGTAACTAAACTGCGTCATCATTTACGTTAAATAACATGACATTAAATAACCTGGCAGAGGGTGAAAATCCTATACAAGCCCTGCGAGCTGGCCACCGGCGTACGAACTGATACTGGCACGGACGGGCACAGAGGGAGAAAGAGAGAGAGGGAGAGAGGGAGACCTTGCAGAACGAATGAGGAGGAAGCAAATAGATGATAAATTCCACAGAAGGCAACCACCCTTTGTGCTTCCGTCAGCAGTTCTGACAGGCCTTGCCTAAAGCGGAGAACAGAGAAAAACACGGAGGGGGGAGGACTGAGGGATGGTGACAAATGAGTGGCTGAGGCAAGGGAATCACTCAGAGAGGAGGAGGTAGATGAGTTGTAGCTCACTCTGGAGCGAGGAGAGGAGGACAGGAGAGGAGGCTACAGCCAAGGTTGAAGGTGAGAGGAAGAGTTGAGTGCGAGTGAGGAGAGGAGATAAGTGAGATCAATGCTGTCGTGCTGACAGGAGACTATGGGGACAAATTACAACTGCCTTAGGATGAGGAGCTTTGAATGGGACTAAATGCTCAGACAGCTATTTAACAGCCAGCTGTGACACCCACACAACGTCGTATTCACACATTCAGAGCAGCTGAGCCGAACGCCGCAGCCTACAATTACACATACGCATGATCTGACGTTAACCACGTTCTCACTTTGACGTGTTACGTGAGCATCCACCATCTCCACAGGCCAATGAGAACCAAGCAAACATTTCTATTCATTCCTACTGACCAGTGCCAATGCCACATCGTTATTACACTGCCACAGAAATGAACAAAATCCCTGTGTTTAACACATTTCAGCCTTATGGACTATCCCTTTAAGACCCGTCACTGACAGATGTTGTCTGTGTGATCCACACCTACCCCTCCCTGCTGCGGGGCTTACCAGAGAAACTAGCTTAACCTCCAAAAGCTTTGCATTGGAGGAAGAGACGCACACAGCTACAGTATATTAGCAATACAAAGAATAAGATAGACCAATTAAAAGTTTGTTCATCTTAACTGTGTCAAGTAGTGGGGCATGTTCAGACAGAAATGTCCTGATATAGCACAATTGTATGGCTAATTAATGTTCACAGTGATATAAACAATGATAGAGCAGTGTGGTGTCTGATAATATCATTAGCTTGGAGCTGACGTATTCATTCATTGTTGCTGATATGGATTAACATTATGACAATATGCTGTAGGTCTGCCTTAAGAATTTGATAACCTCTATTCCCTCTACCTCCTCTCATGATTATAACTGTGATAAAAAGAACACCGTTTAAGGGAGTTACTCCTCCATTAGCCTGCAACACACCCAGGTTACACTTTAAACTGTATACATCGTGTAATAATCCTTATTTATAATTCTTATTTAATAACTCATATTTAAGCTCTTACATGTTTCAGAGACAACCTTGGCTGCTTTGGTCAGACATTTATTTAAGGAAAATAAATATTAATGACACAGACGTTACAGTAGTAGCCTGTTTATACTCTGTTACAGCACAGGAATACTGGAACTAATGGAATAATAGATTAGTGTGCGTATCAAATGGCTGTATAGAATAGTTTGTATCAGAAAATGTGTTTTTATATATAGAGTACATCACTAGTGTAATGGCGAGTAGCTCTGGAAGCAGAATAACTCCTTGTTTGTTTCACTGGGCGACTTGTTGCAAGGTATCGACTAGACTGGCTTTTTCTTTAATGGGACTTCTTAAGCACTCATAAAATGCCGTCCTAAAAGCACATCAGGGCAGTGTCGCATGGTTGATGGGCATAATTGAAATATGCCTTGCCTCAGTAATATTTAAAACCAACTCAACCTAAAGCATTAGCCAAATCAGAGATGAATAAAGCTGAGGTTAAATGGGGTAACAAGGTTAAGCTTAAGCAGTCCGCAGTGTCTTTTAGCCCTCGACCCTATCCAGTGTAATCACTAAAAATCACATCATACCATTGTCCTCTGTTGCTTTTAGATAAGTGATTGACAACTGTCTGTAACCGTCAACCTGAATACATTTGGCAGGGCAGAGGCGTGCTCAATAATGCATCTGTTGCATGCAGTTCATTTGCACATCCAAGCTCACTCTTTCTCTCTCTCTCTCTCCTGCATTTTCTGTGGCATGTGGAGGTGCACTGACTGGGCAGGTACACGGTTGTGAAATAACAAGGGTACACGAGACACGCGCCAGCAAGCTTGCTAGAAAAGAGCATCTGCAGCCAAAGGCACCCCACGTCCATTTTCATCCTCTGATAAAGCCACGCTCGACGAGTAGCCCTCACCACCAGACAGCCCATTTGATTTGTGAGCCTGTTCTGTGTGGAGGTACTGAGCTCTTGTCAAAGTCAGCACTTTCCACACCAGGGACAATGAAAATCCCCAGACTGTGATGTACAGTAAAGCATGACCAGTGAATCCAACATGACTGACTGCTGCTGTTGGACTCAAGAGCCCAACATGCAGCTACTGGCACACAGACATACACAACCTTTAGTATTCTTTAAAGTCATCATTTGGCTATATCAAATATAACATTTGTTTTAAGTGCATGCAAAACCAAATTCAGGTTGGTTTTCAAAATAAGAACCGATTATCTCAGTTTGAGAATTATCACTCTTGATGACACTGAAGTCGCTCAGTAACTACATGTAATAAACTCATCTGGCTTCTGAGGTTTTTATATGATTACACTGAACTGAACACAACTTAAAGGACCGGTGCCCCAGATTTAGTGGCATCTAGCAGTGAAGGTGCAGGTTGCAACTAACTGAACACAGCTC